GTTTACAGCCTAAAAAAAATGGAGCATTTTTTCCCCCTTTTATTCATTTTTATGTCAATTTGCACATTTCATGGTGATGCTCAGCCTCTGCCCTTAACTCCTACAGTCATCATCATGTCAACCACAACACAGACAAATACTGATAGCAATGTGTGTGTAGTTGTTGATACATTGCTGACAGAGGGAACTAGAATACAGATTTAAGAAATATCAGTTTTTGAGCATGTCATAAGCATGTTTTGTCTTGACTATATTACAACTATATTATAATAAAACAATATAGTATTTTTATTATTGAATTGATTATGATTATCATTATTAGTAGAAATAGTTTATTTGCATTAATTATATGTTAATCTTTTTGAAGCTAGTATTTGGCAGGAAATGCAAAATTCACCTGTAAACGCATACTGAACGACATACATGCACATTTACCATTTACCTCACTGTATAAAAAAGTAACCGTTGATAATAATAATAATAAACAGGAATTATATTTGCAAAGTAACCTACTTTGTTTCCAAAAAAAATTGTTTCACTCCTGTCGGTTGGGGGGGGGGGCCTCATCTCACAATGTCGCTTGGGGCCCCAAGTTGGCCAGGGGCGGCCCTGACTACATGCATCGAAAAATGCTTTCAACGTTTCGCCCATTCACTTGAATGGGGTGACGTAGAAGATTTTGAATCTTCGCCGAACTGCATTGTGGGGAGCGGAGCATGGCTTTGCAAGCATCGTGAGCATCAAAAGTTGAGCAATGTTCAACTTTTGATGCTCCCGATGCTTTCGAAGCTGGTATCAGCCAATCAAATCCCGTTTATGCAAATCCCGCCAGTACAAGCGCTAGCCAATCAAACCGCGTGCAAGCTGGGAGAGCCAGACCGCAGTTCATTTCCTCATATTCCAAACGAGAAATTACGGTAGCAAATCACCCGGTTCTTTACGACCAGAACTATTTACCGGGATACAAACCGGAGGAACCAGGCATGGAGGGAGGTGGCAGAGACAGTGGGTGAAACTGGTAGGTTTTCGCCTGTTTGGGGAGTTTATATCCAGTTTACTTCGTTTTAACATTGCTATTGCTTTGTATGTCGGGGGCGGGAGATTCATGTGATTGGTTGTTGGTCGCAAAAAATCGCCAAGCTTCAGACACGCCCAGCTTCAAGATTTGTTGATGCCTGTAGTGTAGACGGGCCGTTACAGACAACCTACTGAGTTCTGCCCCTGAAAGCCCAAAATGACTTTCTGAAAAATACTCATCAACGGGTAATCATTTTACTCAAGGCAGAAATCACAGGCTGTACTGTACCTTACCTACTCACAAATAGCCAAAAAAACACCTTTTGATTATAACACAAAAGTGGAAGAAAAGACCATTTGCGCTAATCTACTTCCACTAAAAATGGGACATTATTTTAGGAATATTCAAGTTTAACACACATATATTAGTGATAACATAATTCAACACACTTCTTATATATCAGGTGACATAAAAATGAATATACCAGAAATACGCTGTATTAAACTTTCTGCTACAACACGTTATTTTAATACTTCACCCCTCCTCTCTTCAGCCTTGATGATTGCCATTAAGGATGTTTTGACACAAAATGACATGGCGTCTTTCTTTTAACCGTAGGAGGCCGTCCACCCACTCTGTTCTCTAGCAGGAGGAGGGAGAGGACGGCAAAACGGGAACTTTATTATCCTCGTTATTTTGTAATAGAAATAGAGAGTCACAGGGAGAATAATACAAACCCATGGGTAGGGATGGGTATCGTCTGAAATGTATCGATTCCGATTGTTATCGATTCCAAAAATGTAAAAGAAAGAGGTCAAACGTTTAGATAACAAAAATATCTTTATTCTTTTAAGCTTTAACTGACATTTTTACAAATAAAGAATATACATGCAATACAAATGTATTACACAATAGCTGTGCTTTATTTTAACTGAGCTATGCCTGTCGCAAGCTATTAACATGCCACAGGCATTGTTCTGTGCCTTGTCTTTTTCTTTTTTAGTGTAGTAGAGCCTCACTTCAGAGCAGGGCTCTCCAACACGTCGATCGCGAGCTACTGGTAAAGTTTGTGAAGGCAGGAGGAAAGCTTCCGCGATCACCGTCTCCTCCGTTCCTCCAAACCCCGCCCCCTCCCTGAAAAGAATGGCTGATAGTGACCCGATAGAAACTTTATTATTCACTTAATCACTGATTGAGATATGATGAAGCTAACTTAGTCTCATACATTCATGGGATTTATGTAACAGTAAGACAGAGAATGTGAGTGTGCACTATTTTTGTTTTTATAATGCTGTTGTCTGCTGTGTTCAGACTCAAGTCATGTGTGTGATGCCACATTCAGTATCCTTTTTTTAACAGAAGACCGTTGCTAGAAGCTGCAGCTAGACTGCAGAAGTATTAGTTCTTTGTTTGTGAGGATGGAACAATTTCACACAGATATAGGGAGGCTAGACCTATACAATTGATTTATTATGGTTTATAATTTCATGTCAAGACGAAGAAGAAGATGAAAAAGATGGCTGAACTGTTCAGTGTCAATCCTGTGGAGATGGAGGTTATAAAGTCTCAGCAAAACTCACGACATTTCTGGAGCCTTGTAGACCCAGAAAACTATAAGAACATTCACCAAGCAGCACTGAACAGGTCTGCTTTATTTGGTTCTGTTCTACAGACCTTTGTGAAGCAGCTTTTTCTGACATGAATGTCATGAAATCTAAATACAGAACAAGACCGACTGATGGACATTTAAATGACTATTAGAGTGAACCTAAGTGGGTCCCGCAGAGTCCTCTATGGTGGACTCCATGCAGCACCATTCATCTCACTAACTGTAAAAAAGAGTGAATGCACTTATTTGACCATAAGTGCACGATGCTTGTAAGGTGGTGATTAAGGACATTTATGTGAATGTTCAGTGACTTACTTGCTATGTGGTCCATAATAATATGTGAGACATTTTCGTTTTCTTGGACCTTGATGTGAAGTTAAGATTTGTGATAAGCTTTAGGTATTGCAATTTCACACGTGTACACAAATATAGCTTAATTCAACTGATGAGGGCTATGTGAATAAATGTAAGCGATGTGATGCAAGTAGCTCTTGGCCATTTTCATTTTTTCAAAGTAGCTCTCAGATGAAGAAAGGTTGGAGACCCCTGATTTAGAGCGTTATGAAGTGACTGAGCTTGTGAACTGTCTACGGGAGGGCGGCGGGAGCCTCGCTGCGGGGCAACTGTGGACCTCTGTCGCCTGTCAGCGCAACTTACATGATGCCGTTTAAAAAAATTAAGGGCGGTGCCGGCCGTCAGCGAACCGAGCCGGCCGTGAACGGCCCGCTGACGTCCGGCTGTTCTGTGATTCTCCAGAACAGATGGCCAGTCCGCCCCTGGTTACGCTGTATTCCACCGCGGCGCAGACGGACGCGGTGGAATACAGGGTCTACCACGTTTAGGAACCGTTAAGCAGAACCAAAATTGTGTATTTTGTATGGGTACCCGGCATTTTCCGAGTTTCGGTTCCCAACCCTACCCATAGGTCACCTCACTTATTAAGGCCATTTCTTTTTTAAAGCCAACATTAACATTTCAAGGGACACCTTTAAAGACAGTGTAGTTTCATTTTGGCTTGTCCTTCAAAACGCCACCTCAGGCACAGTTTCCCTAAGGGATAATAAAAGATTAAAAGTTAAATAAAAAAAATCCTATAGAAATGATGTTCCCATATAACTTTTTTGCACAGTCAATTACTTTTGGACTAGAGATTATTTTATAGATTTCACACATAGGTTTCCGCATAAGAAGGAGGTTGGATTGGATAGATAGAAAAAAAAAGATATCTACAAATACTTCTATTAATACTAAAAAAGTCACACACAGACCTAGACGCAGAAACAACTCAATCTAGTATGTCGTTATCTTGGTTTCAAAATCATATTTATCTATCAATCTGTTTGTTGTTTATGCTAATCTTTTGTTTTCAGGCACCCATCTTATACCTCCCTCTTTTTGATTGCGTTGTGCTGTTGTTATCTGTGTTGCTGCTCATAAAGCCTGGCTTTGATTGATTATTTGCATCTTCCTTCCCCTCCTCTTCCTCTCTGTAGTCCATTAGTTATGGTAATGTTAGGTTAAATACATCTTAACTCTCTGGAGATTGATTTACGTATCCCCGCCGGTAAACATTCCCTGTCTGTCTCCACCCTCTCTGTGTAATGAATAACTTTTCAGTACTCAAACTGTTTGGGTTAAAGGAAGTCCTGTCTGTCAGCTCCACTGTACTGCTGACAGAGCTCCAACTGGGTCAGAAAATGAATCTGCTGCGTTATACAAACAGGCAGAAGTATGAGGGATGCCTCTGTCAGCAGGCCAAGCATGCTCAAACTCACACTCTGTGACAGAGATACATGACTGGTTTTATTTTGAAGATTCCTTGAAAATCCTCTCACTCAAAACACAAAAAGTTCTAACGTCTAGGACAAGGATAAGTTCTTCCACTGAAAAGGTTTGAATGACATCCTTTTTATGTCCTCACCTCAGATACAACCTACAAATTGTACCATAATTGATTTGCAAAAGCATGCACAAACACGGACGGACACACACACCAGCACCTCGCCAAAATACACTCATGCTCACACTCGGGATGTTAATGTGACATCAACACTTCAGGGACAGAAAGGACCCCAGATCCATCTCCTGACCTCAATTACCCACACACACAAAATGTGGTGGCAGAAAGCACACCTCTGTCTGAAACACACTAATATATAAACATGGGACATTTTTCTCACCTACAGTAGAACACTCAAACACTCAGCAAACAAACACAGAGTCGCTGAATGCACAATATGTAACTGCAGCTGCCCAAAAACAATGTTAATAAATAAACAGTGTGCACTCACAAATGGATTATCTTTCTCTCAAACATAACCACACGCTTAGAGGAAGATATAAAACACAAATGTGAACAAAATGCAGACTCACCTGTCTCTGTCTCCATCTGTAACGTCATAAAGTCGATTGGCAGCTCCATCAGCACACGCCCTCAGGAGAGCTGCAGAGAAAAAAACAGGAAGATGATTTAGTCTGTGTAAGTGAAGGCAATTACTTTTAAAGGAATGGTGCACATTATATTCACTGAAGACACTTTTCAAACATAACCAATGTTCTATCTACATTTATGTGCAATAACTTTTTTTCCCTGACCAACATAATTAATTCTTCTTTAATCCAAACAATAATGTGACAATTATCTTTTGTGTAATTGCCATGATGAATAAATATGCTTCTTAAAGGTCCCGTGTCATGGCCATTTCTACTGATCATAATTCCACTGTTGAGGTCGACTAGAATAGATGTACATTGTTCAATGTTCCAAACTCACATTGGTTTCTCACACAGCGTCTCTGTATAGTATGTGTATTCACTCTCTGTCCTAAACGCCTTGTTGGAGCTCCTGCCCCCCCCCTCCCTATGAGCCCACTGTGCTCTGATTGGTCAACCACCGTTACAGCTGAAGATCAGTGTTTATGTGTTACAATGGCATTTGTTAGCAACCAGAAAATGACACCACCAGTAATGACAAACAGATGAGAATGCTGCGTGGGGTCTGGGTGCCGTGTTGGCGGGACGTTGCGGGGCTCGCTGCTCCGCCCTTTGAGGCTCGAGGAACGGACAGTGTGAGCTGGATTACTTGTGTCGTTTCCTGGTTGCTGCGTGGGGTCTGCGAGACAGCGAGACACCACGGAGCTCAGCCTGAGCACACACACACTCACAGCCTGAGCTCCAAGTGTGTGTGTGTGTGTGTGTGTGTGTGTGTGTGTGTGTGTGTGTGTGTGTGTGTGTGTGTGTGTGTGTGTGTGTGTGTGTGTGTGTGTGTGTGTGTGTGTGTGTGTGTGTGTGTGTGTGTGTGCGTGCGTGCGGAGCTCCGCGGATTGGTCCATTTGGACTTCGTTACGTCAGGTGGTACCAACAAAGTACCAATTTCTATTGGTTGGGCGAATTGCAAACCACGGCCCGTAAAACTCTGAAAAGTTTTTTGAAGCCGCCATTGTATTTGCTGGCATTAGCATTATTAGCATTAGCCCGTGCACCAACGGAAAGAGAATAACTTATGGCAACACAAAAAAAAACATGGGAGCGGTGGAGATGAGGAGGTGTCGGCGTTCTGGCGATTTACTCGGAAGGCTTCAGTAGAAGCTGCTGGGACTCCCAGCAGCTTCTACTGAAGCCAGTCCCCAACTCCGGGGACTTCGGGTGGCAGTGAAGTAGTTTGCGGCCTGCCAGTAAACCCAAAGCAGAAGAAGACGAAGTGACGTCAGCGGCTCATTTGCATAATCTTCCCTCAGGGAAAAGTACTCCGGTGTGAACGCGATTGGTACTTAGTGCCCTGGGGTATTAATTGCAGGGGCACTAAGTACGGCAAAGTACTTGGTGTGAAAGCGGCTAAGGGGACGGGTAATAACCGGAAAAGCATGACATGGGACCTTTAAAGGAACCAGACACGCTGAACAATGCAATGCACTTTATCCATGCAACACTAACTGGATTCTTGTTCTGACAGATTACAATATGCAACACAACAAAGCACTAGTTTGGATAACATTAGCCATGCTTTTGTTAAAGAAAAACCTTGGCATTGCTTCGATCAAAGTAACAAACGAGACTCCACACAAGCGAGAACATTTGATTGGGCTCTATTAAAGGGAAGAGAGAAAGAACACTTGTCTTTTTTACCATTTAAAAACAGATAAATTAGGTGGTTATTTGCCATTCTTACAATGCAAATGATTTTCAAATCAATGCTTTCATAGCTTCTATTTTATTCAGATGAACAGGCATTTTTTTAGAGCCCTTTTTATTGTTCGGGCTTGTGGTGCACAAGTAGTTCAACTGTAGTTTTCTAAATTGCACCTGGTTCTAAACTCAGTAAAGCCTGAACCAAAGGTGGGCCATTGATGAACCGACTGAAAACACCTAATGATGTGCAGGGCCTTTAATGCAATGGCAAATCCAAGAGATGATGCACGCAAATGACGCTTATGGCTCAGAGCAAAAGGAAGCTCAGTGTCCACTCCAGTGCGAAGCTGGTTTTAGGAGAGCTTCTCAGTAAAGACACACACACACACACACACACACACACACACACACTTTTTCAATCTAACTTTCCTATCCTGTGCTTAAAATGAGAGAAACGGAGAATGCATTTGAATTGATGTAAATAAGACCACTTAAGTTCCACTAAAGCGGTGCTTTATTCAAGCGGCAGGAGGTGAGGGCACTACCTGCCGTCAATATTTCACATCAAGAAAATGAAGGGAATGTAAATGGCTCATTATCTCTGACAGAGTGCAAAGGCTAAGGAACTTTTCAAATGATAAACTTGGTAAACAGAGAAACTCTTCTTTAAGCCTGGTGGTGACAGACTGTAAAGCACTCACAGCATCATTTTCAGACTTAAGGTTCTAGAACAGTTACTTCTGACTGTCAATCATTTACTTAGCTCTGTTTGCATGGCATGCCATTAAACACACACACACACACACACACACACACACACACACACACACACACATACACAGCTCCAGTAAATCTGAGAGGTTTGATGTGATGTGAGGCGCTCGAATACAAACATCATAACAATCTTTCCAAACTATTTCCACTCCAATAATTTCCCATTATATGCATTTTTTAACCATATTTTCTTCCTATATCCGTCTAGCAATCTCAGTCTGCATTCTGACCATGGTGTAATAAAAACAGCTGTCAGTCAACCTCAAACTGGAACATGTTATCATGGAGACTGGAAGCTATTTTCAATAACAAAACAGCCCCTACCAGTGCTGTATAAAAGCAAATGTAATAAATGTCATTGAGTTATTTCCAATATTTTGCTGTTCATTTATTATTCCAATCTGTCTTTATGTCAGTGTTTGCCGCAGTGTTTGAAGCCTCCCGCCTCTTGGTGCCGCCATTTCTGTCAGAAGAAATTATGTCAAGTTTATAAATTGAATTAGCTTAAACGTGGGAAATGATCCGTCGGGCTACATCACACAGCAAAGGTTACGAAAAAAAGAAACCCTGATTTAAAAGCTTTTCGTTCTTTGTATTTATCAGTAATTGATGTTATATGTAATGTCGCTGTCAGTGTAACAGTGAAGCACTTTATTCCCTTTGTTAAGCTTGATGTCCTTCAGTGTGTGTCTAGCTTCAATTGTTCATGTGTCTTCACGTTAAAAACTGTTCTTCTTCTGAAGTTATTCGATCGCTCTTCTTGACAACTTCCCACCACATAAAGCAGGTCAAGCTTCAAAAGTTAAGGGAACATCCTGTGGGAACCTCCATCTTAGATCTCTCTCATACAATTTGTCTCCGTCAAAGTTAACGGCAAAAGTGGGAGTAAGATTATCACTCCGTATGCACTGCGTTCAAGATACAATTACTGTCATTCTCCCGCTGAAAACAACGACTTGTAGGCTGTTTGAAGTACTCACCAATTGTGAATGCAACCGCCTAACCACCTCCATCCTCTCCTCCTCCTCAGAGCATATGAGTTTACAAACAGAATCCCACACAGGGCTGCCTGATGGGTTCTGATAGCGGAGGCAGAGTGGAGATGACCTTTTAAATTAACTAGCCATAATAATCCCTCCCTGCAGGCCTCACAACTCCTGCTGTCACTCACTCTGCAGGATGACGGATACACATGGTGGGCAGGAGATAACGCGCCTCCAAACACAACTTTAATCATCTATGCTGTGTGATGCAGGAAAGATGCATGCCCACTTTCATGCACTCACACACTGTTGGAGATGTATTCTATAGCAGGCAGTATTGATGAGGTTAGTGGGGAGGATCACGCCTGCCAGGTCGGGGCTTTAGCGCAGTGCAGGAGAGGACAAAAGGTCACAGAGAGCGGTGAAAAGATTATTATGCCCATTATGATGCCCTTCTTTATCTACGAGTCCACCTCTCCCCCTCTACCTGTCAACCTGTCTCCACTCTGCTCTTTAAACCCTGATTTAAATGTGATTGATTTCCCTGAAATATGTCATGTTGTTGTCCTGTAGCTCCACTCGTAGTGGTGTATTTTCTCTTCTGCTTTATGCGAACATTTCACTAGCTCTTTCTGTCATTCTCTTTTCGTTTCCATTAACAGTAATTTGCTCTCTTGTGATGTCTTTCCACCAACCTTCACTTGGGTGTGAAGTGAGTCAGTCGTACTTCATCTATTGTGCCACGTCATTTGACCCAAAAATACTTTTTTCTAGTTTGTTAACATAGAGCGGATACCTTTTTTTGTACGTACATTAATTTCCCAGGATGACAACTTTAATGGCCCCTATTTAAATAATTAAGGCATACATGCTGTAAAACACGCTTAAATCAGAATCCAGGGTTATTTTTCTTCCTCCATTAATTTGACTAAAACGTGACTGAGATGTTTTGAGGCGTAGTTTAAGTGAATTATGTGTCACTGAGCAACTTTTAAAGGAATGAGCCGGACCTCACCTCCAACCAGAGTTCCCGTTAGAATATTTTTTCGCCGGTCAACATGTCCGTTAAATTTAAATCTTCCGGACAAAATGAGAAAAGTGCCGGTCAAAGGTCTTCTTTGTTATTTATTGAGCTTTAAAACAAATTAATATGATTCAATATTAAACTAATTATAGTAGATTAACTACATTATTCAAAAGTAAACAGTCATTTACAATAACACGGGAATAATAAACGGAGCGCTCTCTCCCTCTCCTGACAGCCCGTCAGTATCATGCAGCTCGCGGATCAGTAATGAGTGACCAGACAGTGAAACTAAACATATCTATAACTAGTTTAGGTAGTTTGAGAGGTCATTAAAATAGCTACGTGTTATATTCTAACCTGAAGTGTGTGTTTTGTTCGCTCACCGCTGATCATGCAGAGCTGCGTGTCGACTCGTCAGCAGCAGCTGATCTCTCTCTCCCGTCAGATTTCACTCGCGTTTATGTCCATATCGATCAGATCCAGCTAGTTCTAGCTAATGATAGGACTACCTGCTTATTAAAAGACACCTAAACAATAAGTGCCGCTATGTATGCAACCGGGTGAGGCCACAAAGTATAGCGCAGCATTATGCATTTGTTTACATGCCCACCGGAACCCCGAGGCATTACCAACAGATCAACGCACAATCAACCCATTCAGGAAATCTCTTTCTCCATATGAAGTGTTAGACATTAGAATTGACTATTCTTGTCTGTCACATACTCTTTTGTCTGTCACATAAATGGTGCAAGTTGCGCAACTGATGTGGTATTGCGCTAAACGGAAATTATTTTGAACGGACACTTTGACCGGAGAGATTTAGATGTGCCGGTCTTCAGCATATTTTACCGGTCGTAGTCCGGTAATTACCGGCTAACGGGAACTCTGCCTCCAACGCAGTGCTCTTTTTACATCCATGATGTCAACGCCCTGCATCACCCAACCGGCCTCGTTTGTAGGCTGAAAGTCTACCTGCTGAAGGGGAAGTTCATAAACTTCAACCTCTTCAAGCTGCTCCACATCAACAGATGATGAAATCAGGCGCAGGTCTGTTGCTTCGTCTTGTAGATCGAGCTACCTCCGCTGATTGCTTTATTGATTTGCTTGTTTGTGTTGTTTCTCAGTGAAGTAAGTGAAGGATCTTAAGGTAAGTAAATGAGTGACTCAAAGTGAGTGGGTGACTGACTGGATGAGCAGGTATGTGACTGATGGACCAGATAAGTGAGAGGGTGCGTGAGCGAGATAAGCAGCTTGATCCCACTTCACAACATCCCACCAGGCACCTGTACATGAGCTTCCCTTTGATCAGCGTTGCCTCCATCTCTCCTTCGCTCCCTGCTGCTCTGCCTCTCCCACAGGTGAGAGGGGGCCCAGGGGCAACACATCAGAGACCTGAGAGTGTGTGTGCATGTGTGTGTCTGTAAGGGTGGAGACCTGGCTACGAGGCCTCCAGAAGAACAACCATCTGGAGACACACTCATTCCCAAACTGACATCTGCTTATCCCATAAACAACATTAAAAATACATGGCATAGGAACGACAATCCTGCTGCAAGCGTGTTTACCATCACACAGCGGCAGATCTGAGATGTGCCCTTCATGCATTGTCATCATCCTGTCAAAACTTCTTCAAGTCCCATGTGCACTGCTGCCAAGAGCAAAACGGAGCATGAAAGCCTCCCAATTTCTGAAATCCACACCACAGCATTGCTCGTGGCACTTCAGAAACCACCCCAAATCTCTCCCAAACGTTGATGAGCAGACTTATCTAAGAGGGAGAAAATGACATATGACAATATCAAGCTGTGTTATGCTGTCACCTTAAATGTTCATCTATCTAACAGTAGTCGTAGCTGGGTGGTCTGAGGATTTGATGCATAGATTTCCCTAAGGATTCTTGTTCCTGTATATATTTTCTATTAAGATATTGTTTAACCAAAATAAATAACTTCAAATGGGTGCTCAAAAGGAGTTGAAGTCTCATAGCAACTGCAACATCATGAAAAACTAGTAAACTGGAGCGTAATAGTACCTCAAAAATATTGTGCAGAAAACGGCCCTCTTTACACCTTCAATGTAGGCTTTCATGTTATCTATCTCGAATCAACTAGTTGTCTTGAATGTATTATATTGTGTGCCTTTCCATGAAAAACAAATCTGTCTCCGGGCAACATGTGGTGTAAAATCGGGTGATGTAATTGCTTTCTCTAAAGCCATTTAACATTTTCTGAAGCTCCTTTAGTGTAAAGCCAAAACCAGATACCAGCTCAGGTGTCTTTTTGTTTTTTCTTAAAGTTGATAAGAATATTAAAGCTGAGTTCATTAAAATTCAATCTGATATGGTTTTAATCTTCAAAGTGACTTTGTTTACTAAGCTAATAATTCCCTGATTGCATAAGTCTGCACGTTACATTTTTATTAAATGAGTGGTTCTTTTGTTGTTGTTTCATGGTCTCAACATCAGTATTCATCAAGCAGAAGGAAATCGAATCACGTTCTGTAGTTACCCGACAAAAAGAAATGGTTAGAAATTGAGGGGATTCATAACAACTTGTAACCAGCAGGTTGCTGATGAGAGACTGCAGTCCTCCCATCATGAGCTAGGGGTGCAACAACTAATCGACTTAAAGGTGACATGTCATGCTTTTCCGGTTATTACCCGTCCCCTTGTGTGTTATGAAGGTTGTTATGCATGTAAACGGTGTGCAGAGCGCCTCGTTGGAGAGCAGAGTCAAAACCCTCAAAGTACACCATGTAGCGAGTAAAACTTTAAAACAGAAAATACCTCCCCAAAACGCCTCGTTGGAGATACGTCACTGTCCATTTGATTCTTCCGGGGACATCATGATGTCATGTCGTCCCCGGAACGAAATGGACCAATCCGTGGAGCCGTTACGTTACGTCCGCGGAGCCGTTACGTTAAGCCCCGCTGATTGGTCCAAATTGACCAATCCACGGACTTCCTCACACACTCAGTGCATGCAGCTGATCTCTCCTCCCTGGCTGCAGGCTGATAACAGACAGTTGGGATCGCGGCGAAATTCTCTCTGCAGACCCGTTCTCTCTGCAGACCCATTCTCTCTGCAGACCCATTCTCTCTGCAGACCCATTCTCTCTGCAGACCCATTCTCTCTGCAGACCCGTTCTCTCTGCAGACCCGTTCTCTCTGCAGACCCATTCTCTCTGCAGACCCATTCTCTCTGCAGACCCATTCTCTCTGCAGACCCGTTCTCTCTGCAGACCCGTTCTCTCTGCAGACCCATTCTCTCTGCAGACCCATTCTCTCTACAGACCCATTCTCTCTGCAGACCCGTTCTCTCTGCAGACCCGTTCTCTCTACAGACCCATTCTCTCTACAGACCCATTCTCTCTGCAGACCCATTCTCTCTGCAGACCCATTCTCTCTGCAGACCCGTTCTCACAGCGTTTATCAACCTTTTTCTTACTCAATATCAAGCCACACTTATTGTTTTTACTTCGGCTGTGACTTTGTGTGTGCTCAGGGTGAGTTTGGCTGTGTTTCGCTGTGTATCGCTAAACAAGGAAATAACACCTCCACGGAGCTCAGCGCGATTCACAACGTCCCGACTGGTCCCGACCAATCGGAGCACACTGGGCTCACAGGGAGGGGGGGGCAAGAGCTGCAACGAGCCGTTTAGTGGAGAGAGTGAATACTGCTGAATACACATACTTTACAGAGATGCTGTATGCGAAACCAATGTGAGTTTGGAACATTGCACAATGTAAATCTATTCTAGTAGACCTCAACAATGGAATTATGATCAGTGGAAATGGCCATGACATGTGACCTTTAATCGATTAAAATCGATGACCAAATTAGTTGCCAACTAATTCAGTCGTCGATTCGTTGGTGACGTCATCACGTGTGTTTTACGCGCCGTTAAGCTCAAACGTTATCGGTACTGGAGACATTTAAAAAAGATATGTCATATGTGTTATTGCTACATAAACATTACAGTATATCGCAGTCTTAGTGTCGCCAACTCGTTTCTAATGTGCAAAAAGACAAACAAAATGCATCTATGATCTATTTTCGGTAACACGAGCAGTTTGTCTAAACATTTAGCAAAAGTGCTCCACATTCAGACGGAGGAATGCACCGGGTTCGACTGTCTTTCTAGCAGCTCTGTAGCCCCATCCACGAGTAACGTTTCCACGTCAGCAACACACGCAGTTAACACAATGATACAAACATGGGTTAATGATGAGAGGTAACTGAGTTATTTATTTAGTTAAAGTTTCAGCTATTCTGTTTACAGTTCTGTCATCTAAAAGTTGATGGCTAAATAAGAGCGTTTGAGAAGTTGTGCAAGGTATAATAGTCTGAATAGTCGATTAATCGTTTAATTAATCGATAGACTAATCGATTATCAAATGAGTCGTTTGTTGCAGCCCTATCATGAGCAGTAAACATGGAAAAGACCCTATGAATGACTGCTAAAGTGGAGCTGTTCAGTGACTGTTGTTGCCGTGTGCTTTGCATGTTCTGCCCTCGATACAGAACATTTTATTTTTCCTTTTTCTACAAGCAATGATTGCACAATAATGAGAACATATTTAGAGTGAGACACAAATTTGCAGATGTATTTCCTGTCAGTTTATGTCACTAACAGACAATTTCCCTTCTGATGAAACAGCCTCTCAGCAGCGGCGGGGGCGGGGGGGGGGTTGTGTTCTGAATACAGAGGTCTGGGTCTAGTCGCTTTGTTTTCATCGACCCAGTCATTCCCCCGCTGAGTGGAGTGGACACTTAGTGCCACGGCCTGTGTTCACATTATTTACCGACCAATTAGCTTTAATAAATGTATACACACTTCAGTGGGTCTGAATGGAGGTGCGCTGGTCATTACCTGCACACCGCACAATGACTACAAGAGCAGGTTGGAATGAATAAGATCGATTGAACAGTTAAGAATAAGTACAAAGCTGATGACCTAGAAATGATGAGTAACATCTATACAGACAAATAAAGCTCTTATTTAATCAAACACATTTGAGGTGAATGTGTCGAGTTATTCTATGTTATAATAATACTGAAAGTGAGTGTTTTTCGAGGGGAAACCAAATGGGTGCTTATTCAGGCTGTGAATGCAATGAAACTGCATTTGACACAAGAGTCAAATAAACACAATAATGAATTCAATTAAAAACATTTTTATCCAAAAAAGCTGGGTATTTTAACTTCATTAAAACACATCTCACAGGGAATGTTGGCAGAGGGCAGAGAGGGGGCATTTTCAATGACATGATATTAATTAATATTTTGCAAAGTGGAAAACACACAGGCTCAGTCTGACGAAAAACATCAGGGGAATACATGCTCAGTGCAAACCAATGAGGATGGGGTCTAAGTGATGTTAAGGGGGCTTGGGTGTTGGTGATGTGTGAAATATACCTTTATTCCATAAGATGTGGAGGTATTCCTTATCCAGAGGCTGGTTCAGAATAAGCAAACAGATCCTCCGCGTGCCTAAAAAAAGACAAAAGAAGGCGAGAGGAAAAGGACAGGTATGAACAGATAGAGAAACAACAGGCTGTGGAGCGTAATGATGATCATAGATAACACACGACACATCACTACTTGCATTTGCTTTTAAAATACCTTTTAATTACAGACTGGAGGATGTTGTTTGTGGCATTGAATGTGCTAAATGAAGGAGAAAGCTAAAACAATGCTGTGATAATGAGGACAGATACACAAGAGAAGATTAAAAAACAGAAACCTGAACATAGTTTGGTGTAAAAGTATTCCAACTCAATCCAAGTGGTTTAGAAACTAAATGTAATAACAGTTATTAAGACAATGTCTATCACAATTTTGCCGCAACTTTCCTCAACTACAGCACATTTGACACAACATCAAAACAACAAAATAAAATAACCTGAGCTTCTGTTTTTCTTCCCAGTTTACCTCCATGCATCTTTCTCCATGTCTCTATCCCAGGGTGCATCATGTTATACATCTATTTCCTCTCCTAACCCCCAATCCATACTGCTTTTAGAGGCTTCTAATGCAGATCCCCTGACTAATACTTCAGAAGTGGCATTTCTTTTTCTCAGCAGGCGATAGTAAAAACCGAGCTGTTCGACAGAAAAGACTCGCAACCTCGTCCCCTCGCCTTCACACTTAGCCATTTCAATGCACGCTCATTGATCTTGCACTCTCATGTTTGGCCTTATGAATGATTTCTCATCTATTTTTACGGTTGTTGCCTTTTGTAGCCGCGCCAAAACAGTCCTATACATGCTTTAAGCAACACAATGCGATTACAATGTCCTCATCACTCTCTCTTAAGCATGCATTACATATCTCATAAAGCTAGTATATTTGCCAATACGCCATACATCATGCATGCAGAAGAGACCACAGAAAGCAATGGTGAAGAAGGAAGAGAAAGAAGAATATACTATAGTTTATATTTAAAGAAATGCACCTTGTCATCAAAAACAGCCTTTAAGGATTTATACCCTGAAGTGTAGAGAGAATTTTGCCTTGGCGGACAAAGACATGTGTCCTTTAGGTTTGTGACTTTGTTACAGAGGCAGTCTTGATGTTGTTAAAAAGTTTACATCACTGGAAGGTCATTTCCAGTACCAAAGTCAACCTCAGCAGAGTATGGTAAAGAGAAGAGAGGATGAAGAGGCGGAGGAGAAGAAAGGAGGACACGAGGAGGGGGAGAGGAAGAGGAGATTTGTCAGTCTTGTCTCTTAATTGGCTGGAGGTGTACAGAGAACAAAAGACAAACTCAACCAGCCGTGACTTTTCAGATAACCCTGTGTCGCACAAGCACTCACCTCCGCGCAAAAACACACACACACACACACACACACAGAGAGAGGTGGCACGGCCTTTAGTGCACTCTGCTCAAAGAAATGTCACCTTGGGATTCTGAGTCTGAGCCAGACAGCATAAATATCACCAACACACGTAATCCACTGCACGTAGATATTCTAGGAACAGGCATTTATAATTAAAAATGTACATTTAAAAAGGCTAACTTTGCACACGAGGGAATTTTAAAATGCAGACATCCAGGGGCTGTTTTTATATTCTCCACAGAGAGTCTAGATAAGCATTTCCTGCAAAAGATGATGCCACGGAAAATACTTAGAAAACGTATCTAATGGGGGGAAACGGCTTCACTATGCTTTGCAGTTAGGAGAAAGATTTTACAAGCTGTGATACAGGGGAACACATATTTTACCTTTGATAAACGTGACCTATTTATCAAGAAAATGATTGGGTGTTATTGAACACCTTGTGAAATCTGTAGAATACCTTTGTACAAACTCCAGTGTGTAGCCTGTAATGCTAAGCTAACATGTTTGAGTAAATAATGGAAGCTTCTCGTCAGAAGTTAGAGTCTCCTGACTGATGTTGGCATTTGAGTGCTATTGATTTTTAGCATTAAAAAAATCCAGACCTATTCTGTGTTTCCGCTGTGTGCAAATCACTCACACGTGCAAAAATGTCAAGTATATACAAACATATGTACACCTACAGGAGCACAATTACAGCGGCCTTTGTGGTGCAACAGGAGGATTATAACCTTCAAACAGCAATCAATGGAGACAGAGAGAGACACAAAGAGGCAGGAAGTAAGAGAGCCACGCACAACCTGTGTGATACAACCTTCAGTACAGATGTGGTACATACTGTAATGCAGCACTCAGATTATCTTTTACAATGAATTGGTTCATTTATGTCTGAGAGAATAGTGAAATATGTCCGTTACAAGATCACAAATTGCCTATTTGTGTCCAAGCCAGAGTCCAAATCACTGAGATATTCAGTTAACAGCTACAACCCAAAGAAAGGCAGAAACTCTTAAGTTGGAAAAGCAAGAACTGGAGAATGTTTGTGTTTTTATTGCTAGAAAAAGTCATTTACATTGATTATAAAAGTTGTTGTAACTTGTTTTATTTAAGGCAGTAAAACATTTGATTATTTGATATAAGTTAAAAGGTACGTTTCACAAGAAATGCTTTTATTTTGAAGTGCAAGTATGTCTCTTCCTCTGACTGCTTCCTGTTGTTGGTGGATTGCTTAATCATATATGGCCATATGTTCGAGTTTGTATGTGTATACAAAAACAGATGATGTTTGTATTGGATGGGAGGACTTATAGGAAGGCTATTAGCATGCAGTTAGCCTATCTACAAATAAGAACCTTGTTTTTTTTCTCAATGTTGGTCTTCTTATATCAAATTCTGCTGTGTTTTTTTTGTCAGTTAAACTAAATCTTTTTTAGAACAGGTTACAACTACTCGTTCAGGAGTGTGTTCATCTCTATCTTTTTACTTTTGAGGACTCCATGCTCTTGTAAAATCACCTAAACCTATAAAAAAGACCTTGGCATTGCACCTTGGTAAATGTTCTGGTTTGATGGTGTGTTTTCCACATTTCACTCTATGGATGAGCTCACAAAGAGGACAAGGCACGATAAATCATGTTCAGCTTGATGAAAGCTGTCCAAACAGTGCCAGGTTAAAGAAACCTGCATTACTGCTTTGTCAAATCACCCCAGGAATGTCATTCACCTACACTTCATCTATTATTTGATCAATCCAAAGATGATGAGCGAGGCAAAAGCCCTGACCCTGCTGAGCTTTCTGGGAACACAACTTCATTTTAATCTCCTAGGAAGTCTATTTATATATTTCTGTGTGTGGACAGTAGCCAGTGAAAACACTATTACATGTGTGTTATGGAAATAATTATCATAGACGCCAATTTGTAACATACAGGACAAACCTTGATGTCTGTTTACCTCCTTTAAGGACACAGGCGGCTTAGCCAATAATGTTATTGTTCCCATTCTGTGACCGGTCAATACTTTGTATTTGTGGACTCGAAGGTGAAATCTTCGAGGTCATAAGTGTCCGACGCAAGTAGCTCAGTGTTCCCACACTGTTTAGGCTATCTTCTCAAATATGTTGTTTACTCTCTGCGAAACCAGTTAGATGGGCTGGCAAGAGAGAGGCTCTCCAGAATTGACGTGGCAACTCTACCGTGAAGTCAGAACCTCTGACTCTTGGATTTGTGATGTGAATACTCTGGTACCAACTCCAAATAAATCACAGTGGTTTGACATCAAAGCTCCGACTCTTCCCGTGTCTCCTTCCTGAGTCGGTGACTCCATTGCATGCTACACAGAAGTTTCCTCTACAATGTGGACAGAGTGTACCTGTTGCTACTCAACCGATGGCAGCCTTCATAATGTACACAAGAGAACATGTTCAAGTTATTTGCTCTTTATGTAATGGATCTCCAAAAATACAAGGTATAAAGAAGACGGACATAACAGAGGGAAGGAATGAAATGTGCTGCTGTCTCCTCTACAGGCCAAACTGTTCCCCTTGACCTTTACAGCTCTGGGTAAAACTTTAAGGCTGCTTCTGCTTAGCTTTCTCCACACTCGTAGCACCAGGGAGCTGACCTGAGAGCAGCGGCTAAAGGCAGCCATGACCATGTTCCTCCTCTAGGCCATCATCATTATACAGCATCAATACATTCAGAACGTCTCGAAAAAATCAACCTTGCTGCAAACGTGTGGAGAGAATACACTTTCTAGGGGGTTTCACAGTCAGATTAAATCTAGTTTTCTAGGGCTGTTTTTCAAAATGAAGGAATTTATAGGACAGGGAATTTATTCAGGAGAGATATTATTTATATTAAGATAATATTTAACTCGTGAAAATACCTCCTGAAAGTGTTTTTCTCTCATAACATTACAAGCAAACACATCTTTCATTCATTATTTACGCATCCAAACAAAAAAGACACAGAGAAGTGCATCTCATACATATACACGCTGTTGTCATGAATGTGATTTGTTTTTGAGTTTTAACTCCCAGAAGACTGCGTGTGTGAGTCAGAGTGACTGTGAGAAGCGGAGAGTGGAAGACGAGTGTGACAGTGATGAGAGTGAGTGTGTGTTTGGATCCTGATTTGTAGCTTCTGGGTGAACACACTGTATGTGCACGGACCTGTGTGTTTGATTGATTGTGTTTTGCACCGAGGGAGTGTGTGTTTAAAGAAGCGGTACCTGAAGGCAGCAGGCAGTCCAAAGGTGTCAACTCTTCATCCATGGCCAGCCTCTACAGACGCTCGTCTTCAGTCAGTCCACTCAACTGGAACTGAGGAGAGGACCGCAGACATGTTACTACTGCTCTTGTTTTGATATGTTGTACTTTTCCAACATGTCCCTAATCCCAGTTTATCCCCAGCCTTATGGGCTCATTATTGCCAAGCAGACTGACAACAACATGCACAAAGGCGCACAATAAGACTGAGGTTGGATCACAGCGTAACCCAAGATACAATATTGACACAACAAATATATATATTGTTATAATTAATGAATGTGAAGATGTAAATGTTGATGAAAATGTATAATAAAAATTCTTTGGGACACATTATATTTCATTTGTTGTCTGTCTGAATAGATATTACGTTATTAATAACATTAAAGTTAAAAAATTGGACGATTGGAATTATTAATCGGTTATCAAAAGAAGTGCAGATTTATTTTCTATTAATTGATTAATAAAATCATCCTTTTATCAAATTTCCAAGAAAAACACATGCTGGTTCCAGCTGTTGGTATTTCTAAAAACATAGATAGTAAGATTTGTATTTGTAGCACTGTTGAATGCTGAAACACTTTGGCATTTGATTATTTAAATTAGAATCTGCATTATTCAAAAATTGTAATCAAGAAATAGATTTTGGCAGATAATTCAATTCAATTCAATTCAATTCAAAACCTTTATCTATCAGGTAAAATCCCATTGAGATCAATGATCTCTTTTTCAAGGGAGACCTGCAGCAGTAGGTTCCACAAGAAGACATAAAAACATAAACAACAGAACAACAAAAGGACATCATACAGCAAAATGTACAGGGATTACAATTTACATATCTAACCACATGTACAGGTACCAACAGCATCCGCTTTTGTAGCATCCAACCGAGCTTTAAAAACATGTAGTGGTACTAGCTTGGTAATTTTCCATTCTTTTTGCAGACTGTTACATGTTAGTGGAGCTGCGCATCTAAAAGCTTTCTTCCCTAAGACAGTCCTAGCACTTGGCACATTTAATAAAACCACAGCATGCGATCTCAGGCAATAACTGCTTTCAATTTGCAGAGAGATCAGGGAGCAGATATAAGATGGTAGTTTATCCAACATGGCTTTGTAAATGAAAAAGTACCAGTGACTGAGCCTCCGTACAGTAAGTGATGGCATAACCGCCTTGGTATACAGGGAACAGTGATGCGTAAGTGCTTTACAATTTGTCAAAAATCTCAGTGCACTGTGATACGCAGCATCTAACTTGCTCAGGTAATGGGCAGGTGCATTCATATATAACAAATCACCATAATCCAGCACAGGTCAAAAGGTCACAATTCAATAATGTATCATTAGCTTCAGCCCTAAAGCATAATTAAGCAACAACCAATCATATATTCATTCAGTGCATAATGAGAAGGCTTTAGTTTATCAATGCTGCAGCCAGGCCTCCCTTCGCTCACCTTTAAGATTTACAATCCAGCAGGAAACCAGAGTATACCAGGTTTCAGAAAGTGAAGAAAGCCCTGTGTATACGTCCGTCACAATAATACCTTTAGCTCTGCTGAACCGTTTACAACCTCCTGGCACCTACCCTCAATATTATCAACCCCTTCAATTATTAACTTAATTCCTACACATACTGAACTATGTATGTATGTTTGGCAGATGTATTGAACACTAGCTGCCATAAAGAGGGATTGTGTCAACATTATATTGTCCCATAATTACATGAAAATGATTGGTCAATATTTTCTATTTTACTATTCTTGCCAAAATGTATTCTATGTGTGACCCTTATTTCACATTTCTATGTTTGGAGTCTCATCTTGTTTAAACGTGTGTGATCTTTTTTATACATATTTAATTATAATGTATTGAAGAACCCTGAAACGTGTATATTTATATATTATCTTATTTTAATTGAACTGCTCTCTGTAATAGTATGCATTTGACAAATCATTTATGTGATGTGATAAAGGTTGTCAATTATAAACATCTGCTGGCATGGGTAAAGAATGAACTGTAATATCTGCACCCAATTATTATTGTTTTCAAATATGTTTTCGTGTTAGTAAAATGGTTTAAACTTTAAATCTTGTTTATTATACTTATGTTTTGCATCAGCAGCCCTCATCAATCAATCACACAGCCACTGGTGTATTGTAGAAATAATATATGCAGGTTCTATGTTAATGTTTGCAGCAGCTCGTGATGCAACACTCCACTGTTAAAACAATATCGTTAAACCAGTGAATCATAAGCTAAATAAACAGACATTTATTTCAACACTTCCTGTGCAAACTGGACTTTGACATGTTTGAGGACTGATGGTGAATGAATGAAATGAAATGAAATGAATGGCGAGACGCGCGAGCCACAGTGCCTCGTGTTCACACAGAAACACGGACTTTTGTGATATGGAAAGCACACGCACTGACACAATACTTCACTCCTAACAATCCGACTTCACATGTTTAACCTGACATTGTTTTATTTAATAAATATTCACTAAAAACTCACAGGAAAGAAGCGACTTCCGCCATTGTTGTTGTGCACAGTCGAGGAGAGTGCAGAGAGCGGAACATGCACTCTGAAGAGAGGGGGAAGAATATGAGGGAGACACCTTGAGGACGAAAGTGTAAATGCGGGTTTTTTTTCATAGCTTTCAGAGGAAGGTATTTTCAAAGGCAGCTCTAGAGGTTTTCAGGAGAGACTCTAGGGTTCTCCAGCAAATTGAGAAAGAGTTTAATTTCACTCTTAGGTTTTTGCAATCACTGCTTCCCCTCTTCAATCTAACACCAGTACGTGTCCGATTACAACATGTGTACTGGACCAGTAACAGGTGTCCAATTAAAGTCATAATGAATTATAAAGAAGCCACATTTTTTACCATATACAGAGTAAAAAAAATAAAAAAACAGGGGCATCTGGCCTACTGATGTTACAGCCTATTTGTGGTTTCATTAACCACAATAACAGATGCTATATGCATTAACACTTATCAGAAGAAGACTATTGTACTGCTTGACTCTAATTGAATTAAATAGGGCTTCAACAGTCAGACAATTTGAGCCCTCCTGTACAGAGTGAAAAATGAGGTCTATTTTTGTTTGTTTTTAATACAGGAAGGCGGATACACAAGGATCCAGAAAAAGAGAAGACAAAACATGACATCAATTACGTACAAAGGCACAAACTCATTGATTAAAAATATTATGAATCAGTGTCCTACAAAGAGTAAACGGTACCAAAGCCTTTTCCTATTAATCTGGCTTATCAATTTTTTTAATAAGATTTCTTGAAACAGCAAGCAACAATTAAAGTCTGCTGCAGAAATATCTGACTTCACAACACTGCAGTAATATTCTCATCATTACAAGCTATAAGTATGTCGTCAGATGATATCCGTTCCAACATATCAAACACAACCAAGCTAAAATTATCACGTAATTGGAGAGATTCTTTGTGAATTAGTTTCTTTATGTTACATGAATATGGCCAATGAGTGTGACTGCTGCTATTCAGTCGCACACTGGAACAGAAATGTAATTAATTGAGTACTTAATTAATCAATTCATGGATTAATTAATAGGATACTTAAAACATGAGGAAATAAAATGTCAATGGCATAGACGAAAAATGAAAAAATCCTGAATCGATGTTCTGTCAATAATTTGGAACACACACACACACACACATACTCTGCTCAGATGCATGGGAATCATTCATTCTGTGGGCATGCATTATAAATACACCTATGAATAAATTTGAGGTTGAGTGCGTTCGTCATTGGCAGGGATTTTAATACAGGGCCACGCCACCTGAATGTTTGATCCTTCTTTTCTCTCCACATCCATCTAAATATCTCCCATGTCCTTCAGCGTAAACATCATGAAGCTTCAATGAGGGGTCTGAACACACATACAAGATAAATATAAGTCATATACTGTATACCACCAGTCAGAGAGAAATGTCATGACTTTCTTTACACCTATCAACTAAAATAGTTTGTCATTTGGGGACATTTGCATATTAGCCTTCTGGAGAGAAGACCACTTTCATATCTGTCCACCCTTGGTGTGTTTTGAAGTTTATTTTATGTTCTCCTGGTTTGGGAAACATTTGCATTAGATTCAAAGTCTTCATCGTCAATTGCCGAAAAGCTACAGCAAAGTTTTCGCAGTGAAAAGCCAAGGCTCCTCCAATAATGCAACATACAATACACTTACATTAAAATACATGTAAATAGTGCAAGAGAAAGGTGCATAGGACACAATGCTGAAAGTAAAATGCAGAAATATTTAAACTACAATAAGAAGGGTTAAGAAGATAGTTGACATACTGTACAGCGGAATAGCATACTGCAAATTGTCATAATATTTAAAAAGTATTTAGACTATAAACAGATGAGGCTACTTTCCCCCATAATAATAAACCATAATAGCTGTAAAAACAATTAAAATAACTGCCTATGTTTTCCATAGCTGCCCATGATGTCTGTTCAAGACTGAAGTCATCAAAATAAAGACGTCTCAGTCGCATTTAATGCACAACATGAAAACTCTCTCCGCTGGCAGATGGTTGAACCAAGAAAAAAAACATCCCCAAGAATCTCTGCCAGCCGTTCACTTGCTGTCTTCCTTTAAACTGAATCTCCTGCCAGTTGCTTTTTAATGATCTCCTTGCAGAACACTGCGGTTAGTTTCTAGGATTTGGCAATATATCTGTTTTAGCTTATTATATTCATAACTTGGCACATCTGAACAGGGAGGGTTGTTTCCAATGTCTCACCTGCGATAAACAGTGAGGTCACAAACACCAACAGTGTTAGTTGTTTGATCTGCTCGGTTATTTGCTTTTGAATTACCACCTGCTTACAGTATAGGAGCTTTTATTGAGATGCTGTGGACATTTTGATTTGGTTTATCTCCTCAAGGTCATATCACAGTGAAGGGAGTGTTTGTCTTCAATTCAATTTAATATCTCCTATCAGCGAATACACGGGTCAAATGATTACCCCGCTTACCCCGGGCAGAATACACCTGTTACTGTGACAGATAATAAAACAAAGAGAGTAGACACTTACTGTCATGCTAATTCAGACTCTCACTCCATTTCCTTCCTTTTATACTCCCTATTATTACCTCAACTGCATCTCTCTTTTACCTATTCTTTTTTCCTCTCACTAATGCGTTTTTGACTTTCTCCTCTATTCCTTTTTATCTGCTTTTTTCCACTCCTCTCTCCCTTTTGTCTCTTCCTTTGATTCCAGCTCTACTTCACCTCATTGTACCTGTCTGTCCATCACACTCTTGGGTTTTGTATCATTTTATTTCACCTAATAAGGATTTTTGTGCTAAAATGAGCCTGTTCATGTTACTCAGGGGATCTTACAGCTTTGCTCAGTTTGGCTACTGTTGGAAATAGTGCAGGGAGTAGCTGAATTAGGGCTAAGTAGGCCATTTTTCATTTTTATCCACCAACGATGATGACCCATTTTAGTTAGGAATGAACAAAAAACAAGATCAACAGAGGACTGTCTCTGTTTCAGTTGTTTTTGAGGTAGAGTTTCCTGCCATGGTCAAATAGAGTACAAACAACACAGTGCAATCTGCTGCTTGGAAGGGGAGTTCTCTCTCGCAGCTAACAAATGGCCCTCAGTGTGAAAGGACAGGGCTTACTCCACCTCAGCTCAGAGGAATGGGTCACTAGGAACAAGGAGGGCTCATTACAGAAGTCAAAGTGGAGCGGGACAAATCCAAGGCAGGGTGGTGATTATCAAACATGTGGCGGTCTCTTCCCTGTGGTGCTGCCTTGCTATACTTTGAATACCCATACTGGCTTCCTGTCTTACAAACAGGGCATACTCAGGGTTTCCTTTTGGTGTTGCTATCACTGCCTAAGGGCTCTCACCTGCCTGTCCAGGAGCAAGGATAAAGACTGACCTTGAGCGTAGGGTGGCACTCTTCCAGCAGCTTTAGTGTAGACTCAGTCCAGGAGGCCAGCGGATGTGCTGTTTTTTCCCACATGAAGCCGAAAATGAGCTCTATGGGTTATTAATCAGTCACTCATGCCTCTGATTCTACACATCTGGCCTGAGGGCCTGGCTCCTGCTGGGGTATACATTAGTGGAAGGTGTGCAGGGTTTCCATTGTATGTGGGAAAAGTCTGTCACATGAGAAATGTCCACCTGTGTGTGGTCAACCCCTGAGGCAGATTTCCGGTATCACAAAGTAAGAGCACACTCTATATCACTGAGGGTTGGAGGAAATAAGAGATGGACTGGACTGACCTATCTGGAAACGGCTGCAGGGAGGGATGGGAGAGGGACGTCCAGCCGCTGTGAGGGGTGATGCAGATGGTGCCTGGTGATGCCACAGGGGGGGAGCTTTCTGAGCTCCCAGCAGAAATTGGGTGAACTGGGTGAAACTGGGTGTTTGGCATGAGGGAATGGAGGCTAACTCTCAGTGCTGTGTGCATGGGTTATTTTAGCAGACAGAGAGGGACTTGCCTGTGTTAAAGTCAGCAAGACAGCCCAGATAATCATTAGATGTCAACACAACAACCTCAATCAATCAATCAAATGTTATTTATAAAGCCCAAAATCACATTTGTCTCAGAGGGGTTAATAGTGTTTACTGCAAATGACACCCTCTGTCCTTAGACCCTAAAAAAATGGAGGAAACCTACGAGTGAGCAACAGAGGAGGGATAACTCTTACAGGATGGACAGATGTGCAATAAATGTCATGTGTATAGTTTACAATAGATAATAAAATGACCACATAGAGAATCCACATGTCGAAAAATTATAATGTGAAAGTGTATAAAAGGATTGATCAAGGTGGGTGTAAAAGTATCCTCCAGGTGCCTGCAAAAAATAATGAATTGGGCCTCAGGCAGGACCGCAACTCATGATCCAGATGTAACCTTTCAGACTGGCAACCTGCCTATAAGCTGGATAAAGAATGAAAGTCATAAGCCTACTTTTAAAACACATTGACACGTTGATGAAATACACCATGGAAAAGAGTCAACATTGTAAGGGAATAGTTCAAGATACAACAGTGGGCTACCTGAATATGAAACGTTATTTTTCACACCTGAAAAAAACATTTGTTATTCTGTTTGTCCAAAGTTAAACAGCTTGCTGAGACCACCGGTGGCAGGAGGGCAGCGGCTCGCATTCAGAGGTCAACAAACCCGCAGATGGCTGTAATTTTGGAAAATAACCCAAAATTGTTGCATGGTTTCACAATGTTGCATCATGAGGCTTCTTCACATAAAAAAAAAGACAAATATGTTCTGTTGAATTCTTTGTTTCGAGGCCAAGTTCGTATTTTATGCTAAAGATGAAGATGAGTTGACAGAAAGGCGCTGAAAGAGATGATGTCAGCATGCCTCAGGGTGAAATGATATTGTCATGGGGGCAATATGTTTAAGACCTAATGCAATATACTGTATATATAGTGGGGGGAAAGAGGTCAGAATATTTGCATTGCATGTGAGCCTCTGCTGACAGAGTGGACTTCTGGCGCTTCTTCTGAGGTTTGTGGTTATTTCTTTCAT